TTTAAATAATAAATTATGTTGGTGAATTTCAATGTTAAAACAACCCTGCATTCCTGTAATAAACCCACTTTCTATATATTAATGGATTTGATTTCCTACCAGTTTATTCCTACCATTTCAGTGGATCGGGAGGCTGAGGCAGGAGGATCACGAGTTCAAAGCCAGCTTCAGTAAAAGCGAGGTGCTAAGCAACTCAGTGAGACCCTGTCTCTAATAAAATACAAAACAGGGCTGGTCAAGTACCCCTGAGTTTAATCCCTGGTATCAAAAAAAAATCTGAACTTATGAACATAACTGTATGTAGTTTAAAGCCTATTTCATTTCATCCCTGCTTAGATCTGTACCAAGTAGCTGGATGACAGAGAGGTTTTTAAGACATTAAAACATTTCAAGAATTTCTTCTTCTTTCTTCATTTATTGCTTCATTACTGGTTTTAAGAGATGGGTGCATATTTTAGCCTTTTGCTATGGTCAAGTGAAACACTAAGCTCAATTTGCATCGGGGCAAGAGATCAAGAACCATGAAAGTGCAATGCTCATACTATCTTTATAATCTCTCTCTCCTCCTAGTAGGATCCTGGCTCAAGTCGAGACAAGAATATCAATAGAGAAGATAATCCAAACTACATGTGTTGAGTCAGAATAACAATTTTGTTTGGGTGAAGTCAAGATAATTATTAGGAAGAAAGCAGAGTTGAATCTAAAGGACAGAGAGAGTGAGCTATAATGGAAAAGGGGCAGCAAAGTCAGAAACCTAGAGAAGATGTAGAAACTGGAAGAGATTCAGGTAAATTAAGGAATTCAGGCCTTTCTTGGAGAGTCAGAAATAGTATATTCATCAAAACTCTATTTTCATTCATCAGAACTCTATTGGTATACCAAAACACACCTTGGGGCCAGGTGTGGGGAGGCCCAGATGCTAAAGGAAGTTGTGCCAGGCCAGAGATAGTTTTTAAACATTATTCTATCACCGAGGTGCTAGCTTCCAGAATTGATCAAATATCAAATATTTTAAGGCCCTGAAAATCATTCTTTCCTGTATTATTAATTCCAAGTACCTCAATTCAGCAGTTATAAGAAATCCAAATTTGCATTTCAGGCCATTACCTTACTCAGGTCTAACTAAAAATGCTTGCAACTTAAAGTCCTCCATTACTTAAGTCATATTTTTCCCTCTTTGAAGAAAAGGGAAGGGACTTCCTGACCCTCAAATAAAACATTCAAAACACAGTTGCTACTTCTCAAGGAGTTTCTGGAATAAGGGTAGAGATGAGATGCACTTTCCACTTTTAGCAAACTATAACCAAAGGCTATTTCCAAGTAGCATGTTCTTTTATTCTCAGACTTGGCAAATTTTGTTTAGTAACTAAAGTCTATTAAGAAATTTATGTATGTTTATTTACTTAGACAAAAGGTCAATCAAAATAGTGAAAAAGTCTCAAAGAAAAATTTTTGGAAGAGCACTTGGCCAATCAGACCAGAAATCAGCATTGAAAGCAACTCTTCTTCCTTTCAACTACTGACAACTATAACCTAAAAGTGATGTTTACTTGTGTGGAGAAAGTTTCCCAATACAAATATGGGAGAAAGAATCTGAGGACTGTGAGAAGAACTGCTTCTGGAAAAACAAAAAAAGAGAGAGGATTCTAAAAATTAATATAATCTCTGACTTGGGAAGATCTTAGAAATGAACTCTCCCCACTCTACTCAACACATATTTCTTCAACAACATCTCAACATCTCGAAAGAGGGACATCAGCCTCCATTATACGCTGTCAGTGATGGAGAATTCACCTTTTTATAAAGTAGCTCAAGCTGTTTTCATGCAGATGTAACTGTTGCCAAGTTATTTACTATCGTGTTATTTATACTGAGTCTAAATCTCTAACTTTTTCCCCTTGTTTCCAGCTATGTCTTTCTATAATTTTATTTTTTTAAATTTTTATTTAGTTGTTGATGGACCTTTATTTAATTTATTTGTTTATACTCAATGCTGAGAACTGAACCAAGTGCCTAACATATGTTAGGCAAGTGCTCTACCACTGAGCCACAACCCCAGCCCCTCTTTAATTTAAAACTCCACTCCCTGTTATACTTGAAAGCAATTCAAATGACAGAAACTATAAAATTTCTAGTGAGACATCTACTACTACATTGCTAGACAATTCTAAATGTGAACTCTTTCTTTTCTCCACTAGCCAGGCGTAGTGGCGCATGCCTATAATCCCAGCAGCTCCGGAGGCTGAGACAGGAGGATTGTGAGTTCAAAGCCAGCCTCAACAACTTAGCAAAACCCTATTTCTAAAGAAAGTATTTAAAAGGGGTGGGGATGTGGCTCAGTGCCCTGGGTTCAATCCTGGTACCAAAAAAAAAAAAGTTTTATCACCATTGGTACCAAGTTACAGGCTAAGCTAACTAGAGAGAGGGTTTAGCACAGAGAAGGAGATGAAATGAGCCAATTATAAATAGATTTGGAGTATCAAAGGAGTAGCAAGGAGGCAAGTGTGGGTAAAGCAGAGTAAGCAAAACAGAAATTGGAGAAACTAATTAGACTTGGGGTTTTATCTTGAGTCTGGTGAGTAGCCACTGAGGTGATCTGAAAAGGGGACTAACAGAACTGTTTAACAAACCAACTTCCATTTCTAACTCCTGACCAACTGACTGAATCTGAAAAGCTGAATTTCACCTGTCATATGCACAACGACCCCATCTCTCATCTCTGGCAACTGTCCTGGTTTCTGGATCCAAGTTCCCAAGCCAACTAAGAACTTCTAGCTACCTAACTGACCAAATGCATGTTGTGAGCATGTTCCCCAGACATGCCAAAAGTTCCTGACATATGATCAAAGAAGCCTACAATAAGTGAGTGTTCTGTAATTTATCAGGTTAAGAGGTTAATCAGGTAATAGAAAACAGCTGGCATGTTAGGGTTCTGCCATATCAAGGGTAGAACAAGAAACAGGAGAATTTATGCAGGCTGGTCTCCCCAGAAGAATCTGTTCTAGGTCACCCAGTGTGATCTAGTACTTTTTCGCAGAAAAATTAGAAGTAATCTGAAGTTTACTATATGTCCATGAAAATGTGTCAGCATTTCCTAAAAGCTGCTAAAAATGTGAACCAAGTTGCGGGTACTGCATACAAAGGGATATTGTTCTTTTTGCCCCATAGTATCTCAGGGATAGCATACAGATACCTGTTACTCTCCCAGCCTCATTTATAAAGGGAATTCCAATCTACCTAACAGGTTTAGTGAAGATTAAAATAAAAATAAAACACCTGGTTTGTAATTGCACAATATATATTAACTATTCTATTTTATTCTCACTTTTATGACCACAAAATAACAACCAGCTAAATGGTAAGCATGTCCTCAAAAACAGCACTTTTAATGCTCTTCTAGTACAGAATAATAAAAGTTTCATTTGATTTATTTGTTTTGAGTGAAATATTATATGATCAACAGATTTCAAACTTGGTCTGAAAAAAAAATTAACCTTTTTTCCAAACCTCCCTATGAAAGTTGGAACAATAATGCTATATAACAAAGAAGTAGTGTTGTAAATTCCATTAACATAAGATTAATAATACCAATTCTGAATAAAGATTATTAAGCAAAAAGAAATCTCCAAACCTTTAAGAGTCATTCAGGCCTGGGTTTATTGTTTTAAATGTCTATATCCTTAATTGTAATATATTTCTATTTCCCTTTATAAATTTTAACTAAAATTACTAAAGTTGGCAACAGAAGCAGGAAACCATTCATAAGACTAGCATGGTTATTTTATTAATGAGAAGTTACATAACAGTTTCAGTGAACTACAGAGTTTCATTCTTATGATATTTAATATTTATAGAAATTTAAGAGTTATCATGATAAAGTCCATTTTGGAAACAGAATTTCTATTATCTGGCAGCAATCGACTCTAAATTATTTTAGCTCAATTACAGAAAGGCTATTTAAGTTATGTTCATCTTTATTCATACTCATTAACAATAGGTCAACTATGGCTAGAACTTGACCTAGAAGCTCAAGTAGGTATAACTGAACAAAACTATACTTAACAAGGTCTTAATTCCAAACAACTGAGTCACATCATTGACATTTTGTCTCTAGTACACTAACAAAGGGGGGGGGCAGCATACTGAGAACCATTAAAAGGGCCTGCTTGTATTAAAAGAAAATGCTATAGAAAATGATCAAAGAATACACAAATGTCTTAAAGGAATCAGAGAAAGCCTATAACTAAGTACTAGGACAAGTTCATGAACAGTATGCCAATGTTCAAAAAATGAAATTCCACAATTCCTATGATTACATTATTTCCCTCCATCTCTATTTCAGAGTCTGTATTTTTAAAGGTAATGAATAATTTTGATTTTTTTCAAACCATTACACAGAAAATCTATTTCCAAATTATAATTCTCAAATCAACAAACTTCGGCTTTTTTGCCTTAAGCTTATTTTGGAATAAGTTTAGACGTACAAAATAGATTCACAAACACAGTATAGAGTTTCTGTACACCCTTCACCCACTTTTTCCTAAAGTTAACATCTTGGCAACATTTATTAAAACTAAGAAATTAAAACTGATTTGTTATTTTGAACTAAACTAGATTTTATCTATTTTTCCATTAACACCTTTTTTTCAGTTTCTAGATGCAATTCAAGGTACTTTGCACTTAATGATTTTTTTTAATGCAGTAACTTTTGGTATACTACACTTCAATGTCTTATTAATGCTATTCTTATTATGGTTATTATAGAAAATAAACTGAAATTCCCTGGAAAATATGATTGATCATTAGGGAAAATATGATTGATCATTAGGTATTAGAGAAAATTGACATGAAGAGTCATGTAAATGTGATACTTCTACTAATGTATTAAGAGAAAAAGAAGTAAATCACTCAGATACGGCCCATCGCCTTTGCCACGAACCTATGAGATCAAATGACTTAATGTTTCAGAAATAGCTCTTCAAAAGAGCCTTGTCACTTACCTATCTCCCAAGGCTCTTGTAGTCATAAGATATAGAGTAAACCTTTTCAATTAATTCTGTAATAGAATATAAAGTAATATTATAATCGTATATTCAGATAATCCAGTTTTATCCTATATATATAAATTACTTTATTTTAATTTTCAACTTTCATTTTTAATTACTGTGTATTTGTATTAAGATAACAAAAAAAACTAATTTCAAGGAAAATAAGTGCATGGTTTATTCCTATTATTATCTTTACTTTAAAAGTGAAAGCACATAAAATTGAATAAAAGTTTTAAGATGTATAGAAAATGTTCCCGAAATAAAAGAAATGACACAATGAATAAAACTGACTAAGAAGAGTGCTTCACATTCTTTTCTAAGTGCATAATGCTGTGGAAATTACTAAACAGACATAAACAAGTGAATCATATTGAGGGCATATCCTTTTTGATGGGAAAACAGTAATCAAGAACTTGGTGTTAGGAGACTTTTGAAAGGTAAAATGTCCATGTGTGTCAGTTTCCCCAAGACAATCCTAATTTATGCCACCGTCTCAACGCCCCAACCAAATTATTATATGTCCTAGATTTTTCATTTTCCAACATTTTTTTTCATGGTACCACTAATTTCCAACAATTTTTTTCATAGTATGAAATAAACTGGGACACATTTGTAATTTTCACTTAGGCTCTGGCATGAGCTCAGACTCATGTATGAGATGCACAGGCAGTGAGGCCATTTATTAATTTAACATACAGTTAAATCAGAAAGACACCTAGCAGTAACCTACCTCTTATAAGTATCATAACTGACACCTGACTGTACCCAAAAACCTAATGCTGCTGCCTCAGCTTATGACTTGCCCAAACACACAATGAAATAAAAGCAGGCAGAGAAAGTGTTTTATATTTTACTCTATAAAGCATGACTTTTCATCTAGATCAAATGACTTTATAAAAAATCTTAGTTCTGATTTAAAATTGTTTTACGCAGTCAAGGTAAAGTGATACATGTTAACTTTCTTGGCTTCACTAACAGAAGAAGTTCAGTTTAATGATTTCAGCTTTCTATCAGTGTCAAATGGAAAAATCAATTAATTTCAATAATGGCTTGATTGYTCCATGTAATTTGTGAAATCAAAGTAAAGCTTTTGGATGTTCATCTTGTTGAACATGAAACACCTGATATTGCTGTAATTGCTATTTCAATTCAGTTAAAAAGTTCAACAGTAAAGACAAAATTACAGTTGGCTCTCATTATTCAGAATAGTTAAGTTTTATAATGTTACCATAAACACTTAATTAGTGAATACCAAACTATTGTTCCTAAGAGATACAAAGTTAGGCTGACACTCTCTGGTCACATTTTCATCAGCTAATGAAATGTACCTTTGTTTTACATATGTTTCTGTTTCAAGATATCTTATTTAATATATATTGTTGATTCACTAATAACTATAATAGAGCACTATAATACAGGTCTGAATGAAGCTTTCTAACACATTATTTTTTCTGTAGGTACATCATTAGCTTTCTTGCATTTAGGAACACTACACAGCACTTAAATTCTATATTGGATAGTTAAAATTTTTTAACATCAAAGTCACTAACAAGAAGCATAAAAAAAAAAAACCTCAAAACACTGCATAGACCACACAAAGGACACTTATTTACACTATTAGAGGTGAAAGAAGGCAGAACATAAGTGTTCAGCTTAAAACGTGCGTTGAGCAATCCAAATTTTATCACTACTCTGTGTTGTCTGTAGTTGTTCATTCTACTTAATGATTACAAAAGATCCATAATTAAATTTACAAGAATAGTAAAATTCAAAAAATAAAATCTACAAATAAGAACCAACTCTATACCTCTATTTTTATAGTGATAATACAATTACAAATTTTGGTAGAGCATATATAGCATCATAGTAAAAACATTTTCACTAAAATAAAAACAATTATGGAACAGAAACAAACTTGGACTTGGGTTCTGGTTCAGATATAATTCAAAACTGTGCCTAGATAAACTCTAATATACCACTACCAATAAAAATGGAAGCAATTTCACAACTCCATCCACAGAAGCTGTTATAGTCTGACAAGTTTTATGAAAATTTATACATACATAAAGAAAGTGAATTAAAATTTTTTGTGAAAAAGATAATGTCAAATTTAAAAAATACTTCATCATAGTAGTACATGTTTTCTTTTTTTTTACCTGTTTTAGAATTCTTTGAATCTTTTAAGATCCATTTGGCAAAATCAATAGCACTGATGATTTTCAATCACTTTCTAAATCTGGTTTTATTTTGTTCAAACTCAGTTGGAAATAGCTATGGATTAAAAATATGTGTCCCCACTGCAAAACACTTAACGTTTAAGTCCTAATACCTAATGTGATAGTATTTCCAGGTAYGGCATCTGAGAGGTGATTAAAGTTAGATTAGGTTATGTAATTGGGACCCTCATGATAATATTAAGGCCTTTATAAAATAATGAGACAAGATCTTTCTCTGTCTCTCCTTTCCTTCCTCTTGCTCAAGTGCACACACAAAGGAAGGGTCATATAAGGACATAAGATCAAACCAGTTCTACAACCAGGAAGTAAGCCCTTGTCAAACAATGAATCTGCCAGCACCTTGGTCTTAGACTCCGCAGCCTCAAGAACTATGAGAAATAAATGCTTGTTATTTAAGTCATTCAATTTATGGTATTTTATAACAGCAGCTAAAATAAGAAAAAATCTTTTAATTCAATATGTAATATTTAAAGATAACTTATTTATAATACATGCCAAAATGAAATAAACCTAAGAATGAATCCCTAAAAATTAACAGCATGTAAATTTGATAAATTTTTTCAAGACCTATAAAATAGATACAATTTATGTAACAAGCTTTGTCTTCTAAAAATTTTGTCTTCTAAATAGAGCAAAAAAGACAATATCTGTGAAATAATATGGGCTGGAATATTTACATGTTAAGCTATTTCAAAACTTCAAAATTTTAGAATAATCTCATTTAGTAGAATTTGCTTTAAAATTAACAGGTACCTTAGTATTTATAGTCTGAGATTCTATTCTAAAATTTTTTAATCATAATTTATAGAGGATAGCAGTGGTTTAAAATAAATCAACAGAATTTTTCATTGTTTTTAAATTTAGCAATTTGCCAGGTACGATGGCACACACCTATAACCCCCAGCAGCTCGGGAGGCTGAGACAGGAGGATCATGAGTTCGAAGCCAGCCTCTGCAAAAGTGAGGTGCCAAGCAACTCACTGAGACCCCATCTCTAAATCAAACACAAAACAGGGCTGAGAATGTAGCTCAGTGGTCAAGTGCCCCTAAGTTCAATACTAGGTATCCCCTCGCCCCCCCAAAAAAACTAGCAACCATAAAATGCAACTTTGATAAAAACCACAGTTTTCTGAGGCAATTAAAAATAAAACAACCAATTTTTAAAATACATTTTTCAGAAATATGTAAATACCCAGTTTATGACTAAAACACAAAATAATATATATGAACATTTACTGTTCTTTTTAATGTTGAGAAACTCAAAAGAACAGTTTTTATTATGCTTTAAGGAACACAGATAAATGTTAATATTTTTAGAATAATTTTCCTGATGGGACTATTTTATAGGTTCACCAATGATAAAAAAAAACAATGTCAATGAATAAAATCACATAACTATAAAATATTCTATGTATATAATTTATAACTCCCTATTCTCAAAAAACAAATCTCAATTTGGACAACAAATTTAGTGTTCAACCCAGGTGTGATGGTTAATTTTATGTGTCAACTTGGCTAAGGTTATGGTGTCCAGCTGTGTAGTCTAACACTAATTTAGGTGTTGCATGAGAAGTCTGTGGATGTGATTAACATTTACACTCAACTGATTTTAAATAAAGCAGATTGCTCTCCATAAATGGTGGGTCTTATTAAATCAAAAGGAGGCCTTATCAGAAAAGACTGATGTTTCCTGAAGAAACTTGGACTTAAGACTATTAACATTCGAATCATGCTTGAGTTTCTAGTCTGCTGGCCTGTCCTACAAATTTCAGACTTGTCAGCTCCCATAATCATGTGAACCAGTTCCTTAAAATAAGTACACTCTCCCTCCCTCCCCCCTTGCTCTCACATCCATCCACCCATCCATCATTCCATCCATCCACCTTACTAGTTCAGATTCTCTGAAGAACCCCTGCTTGACTAGTATAAAGGGGGAGTACACATATGGAAGACCTCTACCAAAAGGAAGCTATTCCTGATAGGAGTAGACCATGAGAGAAGCATGCAATCAAATCATTAACATTACTTTAAAGAAAAAAAGAATCCCAGATTCTATGTCCACACCTTTCTATACCAGAATGATACCACACAAACCAACAATGCTAACCCGTACTTAGCTTCTGGAGAACAGGGATTTGTTTTACTCCTCTTTGTACCCTCCTTCCAGCAGTGAGTCAGAGAAGGTACTCTAGAATGTTACTAAATCAAGGGTCAGAAAATATCTAGAGCCCCAAATACTAGTAAGATGGTGAGAGTATATTAAAAAATATGTATTTTAATATTCTCAATAGTATTAGTGTTGTCACTCAATATTATTACTATCCTATATTATGTCACCTGTATAATATGGAATAAAAATGGATGAATAATAATTGGATTTTCTAATTCTATAATCACTTATGTCCTTGAAAGCCATAATTCTTGGTGCAGAGGAAAAGAGATACAAATGGAAGATCTGAGCACAGTATAGTCTCAACTCAAAATTGCAGTATCAATAAGAACCTGTGAAATATTTTTACCTTATCTTAAATATATGTACTTTTATGGTTAGATGTCCCCAAAAACTCATCTGTGAGACAATGCAAGAAAGTTTAGAGGTAAAATGATTGTGTTATGATAGGTTTAACCTAATCAGTGTATTAATCCCCTGCTAGGGATTAACTTGGTAGTAATTGTAAGCAGATAGGGTGTGGCTGGAGGAGGTGGGTCACTGGAGGCATGCCTTTGGGGTTTATATTTTGTCCTTTTTTGAGCAGAGCTCTCTCTCTGCTC